GTAAATATGTTTGGTTGTAGTCGAGCTTGATTCGTAAGTAAACGAATCAAAAATGAAGCGGGAGCTCGGCTCGTTATCAATATTAACAGTTCGAGTTGATCTCGAGTTTTAACGAGCTGACTATAGAAAATTATATAAAAATTGTCTTTTTGAGCCTTAACGAGCCAAGTCGAGCCCGTCTCATTAACGAAACGAGCTGTAGCGAGCTTGAGCTCAAATTTGTTATCAAATAAGTCGAGCCAAACCGAATCTAGTCTTAACAAATCGAACTCGAGTTTTAACGATTTGAGCTCACTAGCTGCTCGTTTGTTCTGATTATGTGTGCATCCAATCCTCTCTTCTTGATGTTTCTCTTACGTAGTTTTTGTGTGATTTAAACATTACAAATACTAGTGGTGAAATCCTTGAAACGAGTTCAAAACAAAATTATTTTATGTTGACGTATTTGTTTTATATATTATTTATAAGTGAAATAAAAAATCTCAAAACATGGAGCATCTGATTATGTGTGCATCCAATCCTCTCTTCTTGATGTTTCTCTTACGTAGTTTTTGTGTGATTTAAACATTACAAATACTAGTGATGAAATCTTTGAAACGAGTTCAAAACAAAATTAATTTATGTTGACGTATTTGTTTTACATATTATTTATAAGTGAAATAAAAAATCTCAAAACATGGAGCATGAATCAACTGTCACATTTAAATTGAGATACTAATACAAGTTTTTTCTTCATTAATCAGATAAATTTATAAATCTTTTGTAATTACTTATATGTGCATCTCTTAGATGTGTTCCAAAAATCTATTAAATCAAGTAACTAATTCTATGACTGAATAGAGCATTATCACTTGGAAAAAATAAAGATTTAGACAAGTTTGTACTATTTTTCTAACTTTAAATGTAAAATTATTGTTTTCAATACTAGTACGTAGCCCGTGCGATGCACGGGTCTGAGTTTTCAGATGGCCTGTCCATTAGGTTTAAAAAAATTAGAGTTAGATCATTTATTTTACACCTCTTTTGATCATCGTTATTCTTTTAGTCATAATGTTAAACCTCAATGTAATGCCCCGTTTGACTATGAAATTTTTGAGAATTATTTTTTATTATTATTATTATTATTATTATTATTATTATTATTATTATTATTATTTATTTGTTGTTCTCATTAATTGTTTGAATGCTATAAAAATTATTAATTGTTGAATATGATTTATTTGTCAAATTACTTAATTGTCTAAATATTAATTAATTGCCTAATTGTCTAAGTGTTATTAATTAATTAAAATGTGTATTTGTATTTTACTAATATTATTATTGTTTTAAAATTTAATGGTGTGTATTATAAATATATATATTATATCCGGTTTATTTAATTTTTCGCCACGTCGAACCGAGCCTCGTATAATTTTGAGTCGAGCCCGAGAGAACCGACCGATTTTGATTATTTTTCGTAACCATTGCGAGATTAATTTGGCCCAACCCAAATTATCTTGAATTATCCCATTTAGATTAATTTTGAGCCCGTTTAAATTAAAGCCTTTGGCCCATTTATTATTATTAGCTTGGCCCAAGAGGTTGTATCACGTGAGTTTTCTCTGTCCCGGCGACCGAGTCCCTTCTTCTTATCCGTCCAATTTTTCTGTTCAATTCCCTTCAGATTTTATCTCGCACGTTCTCTCATCCTCTTCTTAAGACTCGGCCAAGGAGAGAAATCTTTTCATCAAAACTCTCTCCCTCTCTGTTCAATTCTCCATCGCAGCATTTTTTTTTAAAAAAAAAAATAAAAAAATTGCCGCCTGCATCTTCTTCCCCGGCGAGAGCTCTGCCGCTGGCGTCTCTCTGAGCAGTACTTCGACGACCCCTATCCCGTCAAGAAGGCATCCTTCAGTCGTGAACCGGGGCTGCGGAAAAGCAGGACGTCGCACAAAAGAAGCTGCTGGGAGTATTCGAACTTAGGACGTCGCACACGCACATACACCCAGAAGACCACTGGATTATCGATAGGGGGTGTACTCCCTAGTATTTATGGATTTGATGAACCCAGTTTTGGGAGTTGATGTCATTTATGAACCCGGTTTGGGTGTTGACTATTTACGATGATTTAACCCGGTTTGGGTGTTGACAATTTATGATTATTGAACTCGTTGGGAATTGCATATGTGATATTGTTGAAATTGTTTTTGAAAAAGAGTAGCGCCTCATGTGTTTTGAAATAAATTTTGAAAAATTTATTCTGAATTTCGGCATATAAAAATGGGGCGTTATACTCAACCTATTAGCTCTAGTATGTAAATTAATTATTAGCTCTAGTATGTAAATTAATTAATATATTATCTCGCTAAAACGTTGATACTAATATAAATTGATTTTAGTATATATATTTATTCTTTAATATAAAAAATAGTAGTTTTACATATTCTGCTATAACACTTAATTTATTATTTTATCATAAACTTTATTGTCATTATAATTTTTTAATAATATTTTAGAAAATTAAAAAAATATTTACCTATTTACAAACTCATTATCTCGAGTTTGAAATCATAAATTTTATTCTTAAAATAAAATTTAGAAAATTTTAACTTGTAATCAGAGATGAATTTGAATTAATTTGAAATTCCTAATCCATCTCAAATTTATTTTGTGAAAAAAGGCTATCCAAAATGTTTATACCAAGAGTCCTAATATTTTTAAATTGTAAAAAGTCTTCATGCAAAATATCTCCGCTGACTTTGGCGGACCACAATATCGTATTTGATTCAACAAATTAATTAATTTTCTGAAGTGAATAGTTGTGTATGTATATGGAAGAAATTTGAAAATTCAAATTCTAAAACCAATACCACAATATCGTATTTGATTCAACAAATTAATTAATTTTAGGAAGTGAATAGTTGCGTATGTATATGGAAGAATTTTGAAAATTCAAATTCCAAAATCAATATCGTATGTAATGGGTTTATACCAAGTTCCCAATTTTTTTAAAATTGTATAAATCCTTCATGCAAGGAATCTTCACTAATTTAGGGACCAACAAATTACTTAAATTTAGGAAGGCATAAATTGTGTACTTGGATACTATTTCTGTTGTATGTTTAAAGAAAATAAATTTAAAAATAGTTTTGATATGGGATTGTATTATGAGGGATTTAACAAAAATACAAATTTTTAGGATACGATTTGATTTGAATTTTTCAAATTAAATTTCACTTTTTTAGGCCGCCTAAGTCAAATGATGATAAGGATTAATGTTATAAAAAAAGAAAAAAAAAATCCAAAAATAGTACGCAATTAATGTTGTCTTAAAATTTTTAGTTACTATTTATGGTAAATAGTAATTCTTATTATATATACTAGTACAGAGCCCGTGCGATGCACGAGGTGCACAATTTTAAGGCTATTTATCCAGGCTTATAATTATATACATGAATAAAGAAAAATGTACGGGATATATATAGTACGTGACCCGTGCGAAGCACGAGATATATTTATTTAGAGAATATTATATTATAAGATGCAATATTCAATAAAAGTTTATAATACGCAAGAAATTGTACAATGTTTAATAAAGTTTTATAATATTCAAGTGGAGTCTTAAAGTCTCTTGTACATTAAGACTACTGACAAAATAATATTTTAATTAATGAGTTTCCTTTCCTTGTAGCCAAATTGTGAATATGATTTGAGGAGTACAACAAATCGATATATAGCTGACTTGCTTTTCTCATTGTAGTTTTTTTTTTCTTTTTTTTATAATGAATTTAAAGATATTCTAAAATATAGCAAAAATTAATTTTTTTATTACAATTAGGAATTTTACTAAATATAAACTCTCAATCTATGGTGTTAATCAACGTTTAAGTCTAAAAAATTAGGAATTTTTACCTCTTTTAATCAACGTTTAAGTCTAAAAAACAATAGAGTTATTATAAGTTTTTTTTCTACATCTTTTAAAACATTAAATATGAGCATGTTAGGGCTAGCTTGTAAAATAATTAATATATTATCTCACTAAAACATTTATACTAATAAAAATTTAATTTTAGCATATAAATTTATCCCTTGATATAAGAGAAAGTAACAGTTTTACTTATTGTTGTTCACCATATAATATTTAATTATTATTTTATTATATAATAAAAAAAAAATATTGTTAAATAGTGTAGTAGAATTGTTATAAAATTATATTTTTTTTTTTTTACAATATGGATTTAATATTTTTTTATGATTTGATAATATAAACAAATCTATACTTAACTTTGACAAATAGAACAAATAAGTACTTTAGTAAGTATTTAATGTATATACTAAATAGGAATATATTTAGTATAATCAAATACCAAATATAATCAAATAAGTCAAAGTGTACATTTTTATTTGGTATTTGATTTTTTTATTATTAAAATCTTTATATTATACTTACCTTTTTAAAATAAAACAAATAAATAAATCAATTAAATAAATAAAATATTATAATACCAAAATAGTAATGACATTTAATGCAGTTGACTTTTCTGGATAGTAAATGTAGTAAATAGAATATCCTTTTATATAGTATAATGCGGAAATAATACTGCAATAAATGCTGTTGACTTTTTTGGCTACTTAATTTGGTAAATAGTACCCCGTATTAAGTATAGATATAGATTTCAAAATTCAAGTCAAATGATCGACTTTAACTTCATCACCGACTGAATGGTGTTTATCAAGCTCATTAAGCCAATAGCTTCTATGTAATAACACCATATTTTAGGTAATTGATGCTTTCCCTTGTAAGAATCAACATACCGAT